ACTAAAGCTCCCAGCCTCTCCTTTTTTTTTTTTTATTCTGGGATTTATTTACCTTCTATAATTGAAACTTCGTTGCTGTCACTGGAGCTGAGAGCCGGCTCCAGCTCTGAGGCCGCAGCCAGCTGAAAGCAGGTATCTGGGGTTTGTTTAGCTTCTATAATTGAAACTTTGTTGCTTTCGGAGCTTTGAGCCGGGCCGCTTAGAGCCTGGCTGCAGCAGGCGGGGAACCTTGGCTTCCTCCATCACTGGAGCAAGCAAGCTTCCTGCTCGCTTTAGCTGCGTGGCTGCCGGCCGCCATCTTGGTTGGTGGTTAATTTGCATATCACCCTGATTAGCCAAAGGGAAGTGTAGCGAAGGTATGGTCAATTACCCTTTTTGTCTTTTATTAGATAGGATATAGATAACCTCTGGAAAATTGAAGAGCAGAAAGGGAAGGTTCAGCTTCTAGTCACAATGCAATTAATTACCTTTTGGTCCCAGATACACACCAACTTATGAAAGATAAAGAGCAGCTCATGATTTTGCAGTTCATCCTCAGTATGGAGGGAAGAGCAAGTTAAGCTAGCAATAGAACAGGGTGGGAAGGAAGCTCTGTGGCTTTGAACGATTCGGGTTGAAGCATTAGCAAGATGTTTGAGATACAGCCTAAGTATCTCTTGTCTCTAAAGCCCAAGTGTGCCTGGAAGAGTTGTCTGCTCAGTTGTCTTCCAGTTCTCTCCTCAACGTAACTACTGAGGCGCTTATTCCTTATCTTACCCCCTGTACTTACTAGTAGTTCTAACCTGGTGATCACTGTCTCCTATTGCAAACACTTTATTCTCTTGGCTTCTGGGACACCTCCCTAGTCACTTGCCTTTCCATTTGCCACTGCTAAAGTTAGCAGCCCTCAGGGCTATCTTTGACCCTCACACCCTAGGAGATAACATTTAAGTCCTATCATGTTAACCTCATCTTCAGCCCCAACTTGCACATGAACTACCTACTCATGGGTAAGGTTGTCTATCTGACATCTTGAATGATGGTCATCTCACATTTAACATGTCTGAAATGGGCCTCTCTTTTTAAAAAATTTAAATTGTGTGTTCACCACCCCCCAAGTCAAGTCTCCTTCCATTACAATTTATCCCTCTATACCAAGCATGTCAATCTCGTGGCCCATGGGCCGCATGCAGCCCACAATGAATATTTTTGTGTCCCAGCCAATATAACAGTATGTAAGAAACGTTTTAATAAAAATTTCGTAACTTAATTTTTACAATATCCTGTTATACATAATTATTAATAACTAGCTGTACCTGGCCATGCGTTGCTGTGGCTCAGTCTGGTTAAACGGAAAAGAAAGAAAAGAGAAAGCACATGTTTCTAATATGTTTAATTTCACAATGCTTGTGGGTATACAATATTTTTTGTTGTTCCATTGTCTGTGCAGATATAGAGATTGTCTGGTTTGCCGACTCTAGAACACGCAACATATAATTGTCCATGTGAGAAGCAATCCGTGTCTAGATGTAAACCGCACAATTCTAAAGATTGCCCCTGAGCTTTGTTGATGGTGATTGCAAACGCCAATCGAATTGGGAATTGCAATCTCTTAAATTGAAATGGCATATCCGTTGGAATCATAGGAATGCGAGGAATGAGGACATCTTCACCTTTGAAAGGTCCTGTCAAGATTGTTGCTTCTACGACATTGCTCATTAATTTTTTTACTGCAAGCCGCGTGCCTGTCAAAGCTTTGGCTGGTTGACATTTCGCAACATGGTAATTGGCACGCCGATTTTCAATTGCAGTACGTGCGGTGGCATCCCTGGCAGATCGCGTGAATTCAAAAATTCTGTTGGATAATTAACCGCTTCATCTGCTTCCACAACAGTGTCGACGGACTTGTATGTAACTGCCTCGCTTTGAATGTTAGACTGAATGATATTGTTAAGTCCGTAGACGTCTTTGTTCTTGGCCGCGAGAATAGCTCGTTCACTCAGCCAATCGTGATTCTTATCATTGGTTTGAATATTGGGAAATACTTTTTCAACCAATTCTTCTTTTGACGTCACTAAGTTGCAGAAGTTATGAGGCAATGAAATTCGTCCTGAGGTCAGATCAACCGGCACCTTTCCGTTCCCAATTCCCAGCAATTGATGTGAGAATATCTCAGCTGATGGATCGTTTTGCAGCTGGACACGCATATCTGTGGTTAATTTTATCTACAATTTATAATTGTAAACAGAAACATTGAAATGGAATCGTAAAATATTTAGTATAGCGTGTGTTGCTTTTACGTCCAACAGATGGCGCTGTTTTTCAAAAAAAGCATGTTTTTACCTGTCACAGGTGTGACATCTATATAATAGTAGGTATATAGGTATATAAAAATGCGCGTATTTGAATGCAACGTTGTGTCAAGATTTCAAAGCAATCGGTGAAGAACTTTCGGAGATTTAAGATTTTGAACAAATGAACATTTACATTTTTATTTATATAGATGAACTACAACGATCGCTAATGACTGATTATGATAATCAGGTTGCATTCATTTCCCTTAACATGCCTTATGCGCAGGCGCATCATTTCTCTCCACTAATACTAGCAGCGAATATTTTAGCAGCCGATTACCCTGTCATTAGTCTTGGACTGACTTGTTTGGTGTGCGCAACAGGAACTATTTCACTTTTGGAGAATAAGAAAAATAGATTTATTTGTGTTACACTTAATAATTTGTGCAGTTATTCAATGTCTGGTAAGTTAATGTTCAAGAAAAAATGTTTAGTTTTTATTAAAATGTTCTATTATTTTATGTTAACGATTACTCATTTATTTCAGCCCTTTGTATTCAGCATGTCTCTATTGAAATAAACCTACATTTCTATGAAAATTGAAGGGTTTTTTTGCGGCCCACATAAACTTAAACCTTGTTTATTTGGCCTGTGTTAGCTTTTGAGTTTGACATGCTTGCTCTATACCCTCTTTTACCTCCCTCCCTCCCTCTCTCCCCTCAGGAAATCACCATGCTGTTGTCTATGAGTTTTTTGTTTCTTTTTTTTAATTAATCCCTTCACCTTTTCACCCATCCCCGCACCACCCCATCCCTCCGACAGCTGTCAGTCTATTCTCTGTCTATGAGTCTGTCTCTATTTTGTTTGCTACTTTGTGCATTAGATTCCACAAATGAGTGAAATCATAAGGTGCTTGTCCTTCTGACTAGAGGCCCAGTGCATGAAATTTGTGCACGGATAGGGTCCCTAGCAGCTGCCGGCTACCTGCTGGGGCCTCTCTCCCCCAGCTGCGGGCTGCCGGCTGGGGCCTTCCTTTGTTCCGCACCGCCCCCTGGTGGTCAGCACATGTCATAGCGAGCGATCAAACTCCCGAGGGGACACTTTGCATGTTAGGCTTTTATATATAGATAGATTGATTTTGAGAGAGAGAGAGAGAGAGACAGACAGAGAGAGAGAGAACTATCAATGTGAGAAACATTGGTTACCTCCCGTATGTGCCCTGACCAAGAATCAAACCCAGAACCCTCTAGTATACAGGACAATGTTCCAACCAGCTGAATCACCCAGCCAGGAAACATTATTCTTAATCTTATTTTTTTCTAAAGGAATATATCCCCACTCAGTTTTGAACAAAGCAAATCCACTATCAAATTTATATGCTTTTTATTGGCGTGACTAACTCTATCAAGAATAGATAACTTCAGATCATATAAAAATTTGGTCTAGAACTGTGTT